AGAGAGAGGGGGGGGGAGGGGGGGATAGTGAGAAATAGAGAGAGGGGGACAGAGAGAGCTGGAGACAGAGAGAGAAGGAGGGATAGTGGGAGAGAAAGAGAGAGATGGTGGTGGGAGAGAGAGAAAGAGAGAGAGAGCGCATACGATAACCCAGTGTTGTTGTTACACTTTAGGTGGCTACTTTACTTCAAACACTGGTTTGTCTAACGAAGTGTTATGGTGTCAAAGTGTGGTATATCTTTCTATACAGGGACATTCTTAAGTGCAAGTAGGACTTTTTCTTTTGGTAAGTGTTTTACTACGCTCGCAAGGTCATATGAGCGCGCGGAACACACCTAATATTTTCAGTTGGTAGGAAATTTTAAATTTTGCCCAAGTGGCAGCCGAAGCCTAATCTTATCGGTTTTAGACCACCAAGTAATCTTTCACGTGCGCAGCTTGCACACGGGCCCTCCGAGATTTTCTGCCCTTGTCCGAGAAGGCTAGGTGTAGATCTTTCCTACCCGAAGATCAGGTGTGTGGCTGAAAGACAGCAGTATGAAGGAGCCAAGGAGTAGCTGTAGAAATCTGCAGAAAGAGTCAGGAGCCCAGAAGAGGTGGCAAAGGAGGTTAGGGGGTGGGGGCAGAAAGAGGAGACGAAAGCAGACGACAGAACATTGCTAGAGAGCAGGAAAGAAGGTGAAAGGAGACAATTTTAGAAAAGAAAAATGTGTCGGTGGCTACCCGGATTCGAACCCGGGACCTTTGAGTGAGAGACCAACACCTTAACCTCCAGGCCACGAGAGCCCCCTTATATTAAGTAGGACTTAATGACCGTGCAGCGTTTGTGGAAGCAGCTTTTTCTGTGACGTCCCGTAGTTCTATCAGATAACACATTGATCCATAGTGCTGTGTCATAGTTTCCATTCTAACCATCTTGTATAAGTATTCATAGGACCTTAGAGCTCTCATCAGAATAACATTGATTATGTATCTAGCTTAAGATGATTATTGTTTATATTGCTGCTCATTTATATTATGCATGTGATTGTAAGCCTGCGTGTGTGTGTGCATGCCTGTGTGTGTGTGTGTGTGTGTGTGTATGCGTGTGTGTGTGTGTGTGTGTGTGTGTGTGTGTGTGTGTGTGTGTGTGTGTGTACACGTGGTGATACACCAAACCAATGTGCCAGGGTCTGGACAATAAAGATGTATCTTATCTTATATTATCTTGTCATGACTTAAGATGTAGATCTACCCCTGTCGGCTATTTTTGGGGCTCCAGGGCGCTAAACAGATCATCAGTTACATTTTCATGGAAGACATTTTGTAAAGACCATATTCCTTCCTTTCTCAGCTTCTGCAAATTTTGTACAGTGGACACATCTCAGTAGCTTGATTGCCGCTGTTTCTTCATCATTTGCTTTGTTGTCGCTTCTCCTCGCGAACTTCGTGCTTTCTTGGTTTTAGTTTTAGTTTTAATAAGGTTTTACAGCGCTTGCAACTTCATAAGATCATATGATCGCCAAGGGGTGGATGTCAACAGAGAAGACTAAACGGGGAATCAGGCTTACTCTTCTAACCTCTCTAGCCCCAACAGAACAAAGTCTGCTTCGACTATCAAGGCATCCCGGAAATAGCAGTTCACAAGAGAGTGACAAACTTACAAAAGAAGTAGAGGAAAGAAAAATGACGATAGTAAGGACGAGAAAAGATAAAGCAGCAGTTCCCCCTATGTTGTTCCGGCACAGTATGAGCGTGACATTGATAAATCAGCCCATTTACAATTCTGCTGTGCATAAGAACATGTTAATATCCCCCCTTTGGAAATGGTCTAAAGACAGCTTCAGTCAGTAGCACTGGGAAGGTGAGGGGGTGGGAGAGTGCGTTCTTGATCTTGTTCATGTACTTACTCTTTTCTCCAGTTTTTATGGATTTAATTAAAGTGCTGCATTCCAGTCTCGAAAACGGGAGTTATGTAGTTCAAAATGAAATTGAAATACGTCGGAACACAAACATTAATAATTGTAATGTTATGGGGCTTAAATGGTTAAAAAAAAACCCAGTTCAACAACGTAGACAGGTGTCTCTAAACTCGAAACTGTCGGAAACTGGAGTCAGCGCCGGAGAGCACTCGACACTTGTCCATACGGTTACGGTTTTGTTTGTTGTTTTTTGTTTGTGATTCGTTTACCGTGAACAATTCTCTTTTCAAGTTGGAAAGCACTCTAGTTTGGTCTGCATTTTCTATTTCTTTTCTTATTGTTGTTATTTTCCGTGCCATATTATGTTTACGAGAACTGGCCTTTGATAATGATAATAATAGTATTATATTATCATTATCATCGTCATTATTATTATTATTTTTATT